CTCGTCTCAAGTTCTTTATAAAATATCTAATTAAAACCGGTAAACTATTCACAAACACATAAGCCACTGTTTTCATGACACAAGCAGGAAAATAATACCAACCATGTTGCAACCATGTAACAAAAAAAAAACATTTCAAAATAAATCTTGTTTTTAAAAAATTCCTGGTGAACAACAAACAAGTGTGTTCAGTAAACAAACACTATCTTAAAGTTTACTACCATTGCAAATTGCTATAAAATCGATAAAAATGCGCCGTATCTTGCGATCTCCTGGCGGGAAGCCAAAGCCCTAGATCTGGGATGGAGAACCGATGGCACACGTGCCAATGATGGCACTCGCCACAATATTTGAGGCACGCCACCAAACACAAAATTTAGTATAAAATAAAATAGTAAATCTCTCCTTTTCTCCCTTATCCTCTCCTGTCCTCCCTCCCTTACCTCTCGTCATCCATTTTATATAAATTATATGTACTTATGTATTTATGTATACAGGGTGTTTCTTGTAAGGTGTCAAGCCGAAGGCAGGTGATAGGTGAGGACTAGACCTATCGATTTCACCCCCATGTATGTTTTACGATTTTTCATAGTTTAGAAGTTATCGTTAATTTTGTGATTTTTTCAAATTGTATGACCTAGTAGGCTTTAAATTTGTTTTTCTTTTTTTTGGGTCGACTTTTCTCAGATTTCTTTTTTTTTGACAGATTCCCTATTAATTGCAGATTTTTGAAAAAAATAATCAACTTCCTATCTTTGATGCAAGATACAAAATTTTTGCTAGAAACATAAAAAATATGCTATTAGCGGAACATTCTAAAATTTTTTAGTGGAGCGATTACAGAAAATAATGGCCTATTAAGTACATGTTTTTTTGTGTTATTATGAAAGTTCAGAAAATTGCGCAGTTTTTAAAATTATTTTGGACCTATGGAATTTCTTCTTTTTTTTTAACTTTTAAGTTAAAAATTTTAGAATGTTCCGCTAATAGCATATTTTTTATGTTTCTAGCAAAAATTTTGTATCTTGCATCAAAGATAGGAAGTTGATTATTTTTTTCAAAAATCTGCAATTAATAGGGAATCTGTCAAAAAAAAGAAATCTGAGAAAAGTCGACCCAAAAAAAAGATACAAAAATTTAAAGCCTACTGGGTCATACAATTTGAAAAAATCACAAAATTGACGATAACTTCTAAACTATGAAAAATCGTAGAACATACATGGGGGTCAAATCGATAGGTCTAGTCCTCACCTATCACCTGCCTTCGGCTTGACACCTTACAAGAAACACCCTGTATATTTTGTATAAATATATATATATTATAATATTTTATGTATTATATTGTGTACATTTTTGTAGCTTTTCAGCACCGCCTACTCAATATCTCTGTTTTGCTCAAGGTCAGCTGGTAGAGAATGACGTATGGCATTAAGCTCGCCTTTTTGTACTAAACATTGTTGTGTGTGCAATAAAGTCTATAAATAAATAAATAAATAGTAAATAATGTGTTTTGAATAAAGGTATTTGCCCTTATCAGTTAGTGCCACTGTAGAGTAAGGTCCTGTCACTTGTACTTGATAGCATTTTTAGGTGTTATTTTGATAGCACGTCTATGACTTTGTCAAACATTTTTTTTAGAAAAGTGGTACGTTGATACATAAAGGTTCGCCATCCCTGCCCTAGATGTATGGAGTACGTGGGGACTTCAAATATTTTGCTCAGGATCGAATGGAAATCTACTCGTTACGTTGATATTTACAAATGTGACTAATTCATTGCATTAGTGGGCATACTTTTAGGGTTCCTTAGTGACGGTCATAGCAGACTTATCAACTCGGAAAGGGATCAACAACGTATCGCCTTTCGCGCGCTGTCAATCGCTGTTACCGTGCGAAATTTCATATTTCATACAAAGAATACTGACCGCCTCGAGCTGATACGGTTACGATCCCTTTCCGAGTTAATAAGTGTGCTACGTCCTTTAAGGTACCCCTATTGTTGAGGTTCCATTGTTTGTCGCCTGTACGTCTACTCGTTCCTCACAGGGTTGTATACAACCTTAAAGGTAGGTTGTATACAACCCTGTGACGAACGAGTAAGCGTCTTTTAAACCATTATAAATTAATAATTTCATAAATCACAGAATACGTAGGTATTAATTTAATTCTTTCCAAATAAGTTTTATAGCACCTATCGAGTTCATTTTTAGCTCTAGATCGTAGTACAGTGAATGAGTCGAAATCGCGTGGATTGTTGTATTTTTTGAACTTTTTGTGGTATTTATTTTTCTCTTTTAATATTTTAATCAATCCACGGGAGAACCACGTGGGCCACGAATTTTGCGAATTAGACATTGGAGTATGTTTTTCTATTATTTCCCAAACGTGGTTGTAAAACACCTGTACGAAGTTGTCACACCCCAAGTCAGCGTACTAATCCCAATCTATTTCACTAAGATCTGAATTACATGCGAGAAAGTTAGTTTTATGAAATCTGTATTTTTTGCCAGGTTTCTGTTTCAACAGGTTTATTTTGCTATAGGTAATTTAAAGTAATTTCTAAAGGTGGATGATAAACGTCTACACGACTTAGTGGTTGAGCCTCAGTAACAATACATGAGGTCTCGGAGTTATTCAATACAAGATCCAAAATTTTTCTCTGAGAGTTTACTATAAAATTAGACTGGGTTAAGTCCGACCTGCAAATGAACTCATGCAATGCAGCGATTTTAGTATTGGTTGTAGTTGTCGGTTTGTTGCTAGACCAATCAATTTCTGGGAGATTAAAGTCACCAATTATAAGTGTATGTTCAGATGAAAAGGAACAAATGCTCTCAACACGATCTAATAATTCTTTGAATTGTTCATATTGTATATAGGAGGGTATGTAAACCGTTATTATGTTCAAGGTTATGTATCTCAAATGCAGGCTTATCCAGACATTCTCTACACAAGTATCTGTGAGTACCTTGTCCATGCAAACCAGGCACTTTTTAACTGCAATAAGAACGCCGCCGCCGTGTGCCTTATTATGTTTTTTCATAAATTCAACTGAGCGGTCCTTACGGTAGACAATATACCTCTCATCAAACAATTCGGAAGAATCCACGGATTCATTGAGCCACGTCTCACACAGACATATTATATCATAATTGTTTATTAGTATTGAATTAGCTATTTCAGTGGTTTTAGATTTGGTACCTCTGACNCGCCGCCGTGTGCCTTATTATGTTTTTTCATAAATTCAACTGAGCGGTCCTTACGGTAGACAATATACCTCTCATCAAACAGTTCGGAAGAATCCACGGATTCATTGAGCCATGTCTCACACAGACATATTATATCATAATTGTTTATTAATATTGAATTAGCTATTTCAGTGGTTTTAGATTTGGTACCTCTGATGTTTTGATAAAATACCGACAGTTTATCCATCATAAAAAAGATATCTACGTATACGTACATTTATCACTTAAGACGAGCGGTAGTAAGAGAAGGTTGAAATTATTCTGTATTCCTGTTTGCAGCAACAATGTAGCATATAATAACCCTCTGTTTCGAATGTGCAGATTATATAATGATAATGCCACCAATTTAGATATATATTTTCAAAATTTTTACTCATTTAAAAAATCAATTGAATTATGCATTAAGTAAGTAAACGTAGCCACTGATATTTAACCTGTTCAAGCTCCATATCTTAATTATTCTTATATAAATGTTGTGTGCAACATTCATAGGAATATAATTTAAATGTGAAACCTAGTTAAGTTATCATTGTAATTTTATTGAATTGTATTCTGTGGTTGTGCCTTTAAATAAATAAATAAATAAATAAATAAATTATTGAGCCGTTATAAATAAATAGGTAAGTAAAAAAGTTCATTTTTATGTACGGAACTTACTTTTCAAGATTGTCTCGAAATCGGAGAAATTTTGAAATAAATTCACGCGTAGGTACACCTACAAATGAATAAGCGGAACCAAACGTCAATAGGTCATGGTAAATACTGTACACAACATTCCTTGCTATGTTATAAATTGTTGACAAAATCATGAGAATATGCTAGTATGTTGTTATGTATTTGATAATTCAAGGAAAAACAATATACAAAATACCAAAAAGTCAATTTTTCACAGAACTCAGTTTAATCAAAGTCAGATTTTGTGTTCCTTATTTTATAAACTGGAACAAAGTCCCCAAATCAACAAAGACGGTAAATCTAAACCTTGAGAAGTGGTTATTGGTTAGTGAAAAACAAAAAATTAAAGGTCTCTGGCCTTAGATTTAGTTAGTTCTCATTGAACGCTGCGCTGTCTATTTTCATTCATCATCAGCTCAATTAAATTCCCTTTTCAGCCATTCTTATCATTCTTAATTCATACCTTTCCCTCCACATTACCATTCACTCATAAAATGTTGGTCACACACCTTCCATTAATTTCCATTGCGTGCCCAAATCTAGACAAAGTATTAGGCACTGTTATTTGTCACGTCACTTTCATAAATATTTAATAGTAGAGACAGCAGAATAAATAATTTAGAAGTCGTAGTCGTAGAGCATAAACATAAACAATTGAACGATTTGTTTACATCCAGATAATTTGCTCTGGAACTAGTTGGTTTTCTTGTGGTTGTAGCTAAGGGAAAAATTAAGAGAGATCCCTAACAGCATCAGTTTTATAATTTTCAGGTCATTTTTCCCGAAATCCTGAAAGCACTCTTTAAACTCTTGATTTGTTGTGAAAAAATCATCAAACAAACATTAGAAAAACGTCGACGTCTTTATTAAAAGATAACCGAAAGTACAAAACACAAGATCCCTAAGATTACAATTGATACAGACATGACCAAAAAGCATAAATTATTCCTTTCCAGTTAAACCTCTTTCCTTTTTTCACCATGGCACTGGCCAAAAAGACTGCCCCATAAAGAAAATATACAGACTCCATGAAGTTAATTTTCTTCAGCCAAAAACTTATCAGTCGGACACACTGCTTCGTACAGAGAGCACGCGCGTCCACACTCCGGAAAAACCACGCGAAACTTTTCTACTAAAGAAAACCATTTAAAATATTATATAAACGTTATTTCTTAGTGATAGTGGATAATATATACCTTTTATATTTCAAAATGATGTCTATAGTGTTGCTTTTTAGGTAAACATGTAATTTTAGTGAAGTGAAAAATGTGTCGATGAGAAAACTGGATTATTTTCATAGTTTTTTAAGTAAATAGTTTAGTGAAAATGTACTTTTGGAAGCAAAACATTTTGGCGGTCTGCATCTTCTTGCTGGGTAAGAATGGATTCGTTCTATTCGTAGATTTTATTATTTTTTCATGGCCTCTGCCTAACACAAGTGTTTATTACGTGTTTTTCTTAAGGCAATACACATATTGACAGAACTATTTGATCGGGAAATGCAATAAAGTGATAATTACCAGAAAATTCTCCTAAATTCCTTAACAATCTCGGTTATCAGTTCAATAACCTGTCAATATGCAAAATCATTCATACATTAACAATGTAATGTGATAGATTAGTAGAGTAAGTATAATTTGAATTGATAATATTAATCATTTTACGATCGTATTTTGTAGATTGTAAGAGGAGTCATAAAGGTGTTCCTTTTCATATTCTTGAATTGTATTCCGGTTTATCTGCATTATAAAGGCGACAGAAATGTTGCCATACAATTTTGGGGAGCCATTGTACATTTTAAACGGCTTTTGGGCCCTGTGAGTTGTCTGAATATCAAAATTCAACCAACAACTCAGGTTTTAATTTAATGCTTTATAGATTTTAAGAGACATTACAGACTACAAGAATACTTTAACTATGGACTTTAAACATTCTTTTATATGCAAAATATAAAAAAAAAATTCAATCCAATTAACGTCATCACGTGTAGGTAAGTTATTATTGGATTTTTTAATTTTAAATGTCCGGTTAAGTTTTGGTGTTAGTAGAGCTTGAAACAACGTGATTTTTGAATTGTCGCCATCTTGGGATTCGAACTGGCGATCTTCGGATCAATAGAGCCAAACTCTAAGCTCCTAACCCAATCTAAAAGCTAAATACATAAACCACGAATTTTCAACCGACTGCAACAAAAGGAGTAGGTTATCAATTCGGTTGGCTTATTCGTTCTCAAAAATGTTATATCTACATTACGATAAACTCAATTTTACGATATCCTGTGAGTTATCTTAAGATAAATCTTTTAAGAACTTTCTATTTTAATAGTGTCTGCTAAAACACTTTATTTTATCTAAAAAAGACAATATTATCGCAGTGTAAAGATTACCTATCTATTATGTTACATCATTACACATCTATATGGACAGATTTTTTCTATGGCTTATCAGTCTCACTTAGACGCTTGTCGGCTCCTTTGAATAAGCCATTTTCGGCGCAAATCTAGATGGTGGGCGGTAATAAACACATTTAGAAGTGATAATCACTTTAATGATAAAAATAACGCGAAGTGGACTTTAGGTACATTAAACAAAAATGTACGTGGTAAGGGTTTCCTTCAACTTAAATAGAGCACGCATGAGTAGTCAGTCAGAGAAGATTTTCTTAAAAACTGACTTTTACCCATGTGACATGCAATAAATAATTTGAATTTGAATTAAAACTCACTGCAAGGGACCGTAAATTAATTTCATTGTACTCCACGTGTTCCTGAATTATTTTTTAACAATTTAAGACAGAAGTTAACCTAGAATGTCTTCATACCCAAGAATGAACCTGAAAGAAGAACGGTCATGCCCCATACAAAAAAAACCCAGACCCGACAGAAACGAGACATACCTCAGTTTTTTTGTCATGTCTTAATTAGTTAAATTATATATTTTTTATATTCGAAATCTATGTATAACACCAAAATATTATCTTTTGTTTTTGTTCAGGTCAGGCGTTGTACAAAAACTAATACAAAATGGCTATTTATCACCAAAATTGGTAAATGTATGTACCTAAATGTCTATTACAGCTGCTATGGAATGTATCTAGGTGACCTGGAGATACAGCCGGATTATACAGGGTGGAAATGATAAGTAATCTCACTCGATTATTTCTAAACTATACAAGATATCGAAAAACTAGTTACTGATTCTGAAAGTGCTTCACGAGCTCTTTCAAATGGTACCAACAATAGGGTACAGATTATGGAAGCTGGTAACATTGAATTTTTGGATTTTGTAACTTATTATTGTTTCCACCCTGTATAATCCGGCTGTATCTCCAGGTCACCTAGATACATTCCATAGCAGCTGTAATAGACATTTAGGTACATACATTTACCAATTTCGGTGATAAATAGCCATTTTGTATTAGTTTTTGTATAACGCCTGAACAAAAACAAAGAGTAATATTTTGGTGTTATACATAGATTTCAAATATAAAAAATATATAATTTAACTAATTAAGACATGACAAAAAAACTGAGGTATGTCTCGTTTCTGTCGGGCCTGGGTCACAGATGACCGTTCTTCTTTTTAATTTAACATTCTCTATAAGTAGTTCAGCTTTTCATTTTTTATTACAGTCATGTAAAAGCTTGCCTATCATCTAAATATCCGGATCGTAAGATTGAAAATTTATTTTCAAAGAATATTTTATTACCTATTGAAATACCAAGGATCTGCTCGCACATAAAAACAGACATATATTAAGTTTTATTTTTAGCCTAGCAACTGAAAGATTCGATCGCACATTAGACTGTAGGTACTTTTTGTTGAAAAACTACACCTAGGTATTACAACTACATGAGACACAGTGTATAGCATGATATTATAATGTCATTTGGACATCTTCTTGACCGCTTGCAAGCCGCAGTTATCACGCCCGTATTCACAAACATTACTATGAGGTCCCACAGTGCACGTGGACGCACAGGGTCACACACGAACTAATCAAAGAGCTCTATTCAACGCTGTGCGTTCGATTTGCTGCTTCACTTAAGCAAGCATCGTTTTTTAATACGGGCGTTTAGTGTACACTAAAAAGGTTCATGACTCCGAATAGTGTCGTGCTCATTACACTAGTTATCAAATTGACCCCAATGGGGTCAATACTTGAAGGATTTGCCACACTGAGGCAGCAATGAGGTCGAAGTAAACGCAGCCCGCATCATGTATGACCATACAGTTGATCTGGGGGCACGGCAGTGCCCCCGCCAAGTCGAGCGCGAAGNAAAACTACTAAACGGATTTTTAGTCAACTTTACAGAAGACAATATTTTTTATACATGAGAATAGCATATACTTACTTAGCTTTTGTTTACAGCTTTGTCCTCGTAAATTTTTTTCTGTCACAGAAAAAAATATAGAGCGCATATTTTTTTCTGTCACAAAAAAATATAGAGCGCATTCCTGTTTAAAAAACCGGGATAAAAACTGTCCAAAGTCCTTTCCCGGGACTCAAAACTATCTCTTTACCAAATATCAAAATCGGTTCAATGGTTTATGCGTGAATTCGTAACAGACAGACAGATAAAGTTTTTTTCGCATTTACTTGTATTATATTATTTAAAAGCATGTAAAGCAGATTTTGGAATAGTCAGAAATATTACCGGTACCAACAACTTATATTTTTTTCGTTAAATGTTAATTATTATTTGACATCCTACGTTTAGGTATTTAGTTTGGCAATATGGCATTTAGTCAGGTACTCCAGAACTTCTTAAATGTTACAAAAATATATGGCTTCTAAATACCCAATGTTTGCCAGGGGGGACAACAGTCCTCAAATCATTGATTGAAAATCTAGTCCTGTTGTCTCCCCTAGCCAGGGGGGACAACAGGATTTCGAAATCCTGTTGGCTCCCCCAGGGGGGCCAAGCAGGGGGGGACAACAGGACTGCACCTAAAGTACGGCCAACTAGCAGCGATACAAATTTGGGATGGACTGCTGTGGAATGACTTGTCTAGTACCCATAGTACAAGTTTTTCTTAGTTTGGGACTAGAAGCATAGTGTAAAATGTCCAAGGATATTTATTTATTTATTTATTATTGTCTTTTTTAATTTCAGGCGGCAATCGCGGAGACAGTTCAGAAGCTGATAGATGCTAAACAATCAGCAGAATTGAATCCCACCAAGATGGATTCACCCGACGACGCTTGCAATAATGCTGAATTTCTGCTCATGATACTTGACCAGGTAAGAGGCTATAGGATAAGCATAACGGTGTCTGTTATTAAAAAAAATAAAACGACTTTATTTTAGGAACATAGAGGAATTCTTCTTCTTCGTAAATAAAAATTTGACTTGAACGAAACGAACGTTTAGCGATGATCCACGTAATAAAGAGACACTTGCACATATTTATTTGGCTTAGGTTAGCCCACCCCATTGAAGCTATCACATTTGTTATAACTATAACGTACAAAACTCAACCTTATTGTATCCTAGATAACGCTGTCAATCTTTACATCGCCCGTGCGTTACCTGTAAATTTGACAAACAAAACTCAACCTTATTCTGTCTCAGATAACGCTGTCAATCTTCACGTCGCCTGAAGCGTGCCCGCGGCCGGTTCGCTATCTATGCGGCTGTCTGCAGCGCGCCGCCGTCGCCAAGTGGCCTAACGAGAGATTTGTCAGGACACGGGTTGTTTCTGGTAAGTTTGATGGTAAGGCGATTATTACCGTGCACCGCGCTCCGCCGCGGTACGCGGGACGACAGATTTAATCATTGTATGCAAGTACCTCAGTTTGTATAGAAAACACGCGCGGCACAACACACTGAAAACGCGTCTGCGCGCGGGATTCTTTATATGTAGCCACGCGGAGCGCGGTGCAGTGTGATAATCGTCTAAAACAGTGGTGGTATTTGTGCTGGTAGTACTTGAGAACCAATGTGCGCCTGTGCAAATATTTCTGAAGTGCTGCAATACCACGAAATCTTCAACAGTGCCACTGAATGTGCTCTCATACTTGTCGCTATGTGCTGCATTTCGTGCTTTGGAGGGTACTTTAAGGTTTGTCCAATCAAGTAGATGTTAGGTTACAACAATCCCAACTATTGAAGAAGAAGAAATTTCAACCTATTTGCTTTGCCAATGGTCTTTAATTTACATATCTACTACAATGACTAAAATAACTTTTTTTTAACCCTATCTGCGGTGCAAGACTTATAACCAAAATAGGATCCTGTCATGACTCGATGGTACCAACTTCAGTGTCAGAACTATTTGACGCTGACTGTAACACACCTTTGGTCTTGAGACAGATAAAAAAAGTTACCCGAAACATTTCCTCAATAATGATTCATATCTCGTGCACACAGGGTTCATTTTACTGCGGCAAATTTGCCCGGCATTACTAGAGCCGCGCAGAAACGTTTCCTCAATTATGCTCCATATCTCGTGCACACAGGGTTCATTTTCCTGCGACTGATCTGCCCGGCATTACTAAAGCCTGGTCCGTGAGCACGTAGAATTTTGTCCAATGACCCCAAGCTACCCATCCTTATCGCTAGCGCGTAATTATATTGCTGTCGCGACTGTGCGACGGGCGCCCGCAGTGAGTGTGCGAGCTCACGGACCAGGCTTTAGGCCTCAGCCTCGAATTTAGCGGGCAGCGGGGCGGCGGCGGTAGCGGCGCGGGAGCGGCAGGATCTTATGCGTAAAATCAAATAGACCGGTTCTCGAAAACAGCGGCGCGGGAGCGGGCAACGAGCGGGCAGCGCACTCCTTCTTTTGCCCACAAAAAATCGAGCGTTAGGAATAAATTTGAATCGAAATAAAATTGTCTCCGTTATTCAGACATTTCGTTTGCGAATAAAAACAAATATCTCGACAACACAACCCCGAACACAACACTTCGCCGCTAAAGCGCCGCGCGAGCTGCCCGCTTGTTTCGAGAACGGGTCTGCGTTGCCCGCCCCGCTCCCGCGCCGCTGCCCGCTAAATTCGAGGCTGAGGCCTTAGAGCCGCGCAGAAACATTTCCTCAATAATGGTCCATATGTCGTCCACACAGGGTTCATTTTCCTGCGGCTGATCTGCCCAGCGCTAGTGGAGCCGCGCGCCTGGGCGCTGGTGGCGAGCGCGCCGCCGCCGCACGCGCAGCGCTCGCTGTTGATGGTCGCCAAGTGTCTGCAGAACTTGGCCAACCTCATCGAGTTCGGCGCCAAGGTAAATGCGACTTTATTGTAATGTTGTTAAAGTTTAATTCATTTGTGAATGTTTGCCGGTGTAAGGTTCATTTTGGTCTTTTCTAAATGTCATTAGGGTTCGTATTCATCCGCTAATGTCTGCTTGTAAAAGTTATTTTGTGCCCTCTTTCGGCGCGCCTAACGCATCCCGGTTGGGAAGTCCTGGTCTATGTTAATTTACTAATGCCTGCCAATGTTGGTCAATGATGAGACCAAGGATTGAGGATGCCTGCTCAGTAATTACTCCCTTCCTCAATTCATTAAGGCACGTACAATTTTAAGTGATGAATTTGGAGAGTCCAATTTTAGCCATGCACTCTCACACTGGCTCTGGTTTAGACCAAGACTTCATATTATAATGTTTTACAAAACTTGTAATTTCGATCGATCAAATCGTAGCGGCATAAGTAAGAACCTCTTCATTTCTGACATAGGAAGCTACATCGTTTGAGAAGCATTGACGGTTTTCAACTGTAATCGAAGTGGTAACAGTGAAAACCTCGTCATGTACTTCACAGGAGCCGTACATGGAGGTGGTGAACCCGTTCATCCTGAAGAACAAGGAGCGCATGGTGGTGTTCCTGGACCAGCTCAGCAGCGTGCCCGACCCCGGCAACCCGCCGCCCAACTCCAATAACAACTTTGATATCGGTAATTATGTGAATAGGAATTTGATTCTTAAAGTAGATACGTATGGAATAGTAGTCATCTCGTCGATTTTCGACTGAGGCCCGATTTGACCAAACTTTTATCCGAGAATAACTCCTGGTATAACTGGCTCTTTGACAGTTTCAGTATGGGAAATATGTCAAAATATCGAACAACTTACGATTTATTCTGAGATTAATATTTACTCTTGTTTGGTCGAATCCACCCTGAAAAAAGTACTAAACTTTTCTTTGGAATAAACTAACATTGTTGTTGAATGGTCATGTAAAATAAAACTGTTATTTGCTTAATACATGTAAAATATCATGTACCGTTACGGTCATTATATCAGTTAGCATGCTAACGACTCGCTAGCCTCAGACAGTACCAGACTGACCAAAAATTTGTTTTAGTTTAAGTAAAACAACAGTCACTGCTATGTGCATCCTGACTACCTCAAACATTACTTAACTGAGCAAAACCTTTTATTTCTTCAAACAGCAAAAGAACTGGCAACACTGCATCACATCTGCGTGTCGCATCTCACGGAGCTTCAAGGCCTGGCCAAGAGCCAGCCCGCCATCAGGAAGCTGGTCACCGTCACCGAGATGCTCACCAAGCACAAACACAAGTACCTCGAGATGATCAGATAGGACACAGGTGAGGAAACAAATAGAAAACAAAACACTCTCTTACTCCTCATGATTAGATAGGATAGGATCTAGGTAACGAAAAATAAAAGCACTGTCAACTCTGTCAAGCCTTGTTCCACTAGTCCAGTACTTGAGTCGAGTGGTACCGTAACTATAAATCCGGTGTTTTTGTATGGAGTTTGACAGACTTTTGACATTTGTTATAAGATAGTGCAAGCCAGGGTTACTTACCATCATCATAAGAGCATTTTTTTTATCCACAACGAGGAAGCTCTTGGTCTGAATTTTTATCTGATACAAGTGATGATCAGAAGGTGAAAGCGAGCTTCACCCGAAATCCTCGACCACAGAGGTACTGGCATCTTACCTCTAACTGCTGGAATACAACATTGTTGTTCTAACGTCACACTAAAGCCCGGTCTGTGAGCACGTAGAATTTTGTCCAATGACCCCCAAGCTACCCATCCTTATCGCTCGCGCGTAATTAATTATATTGCTGTCGCGACTGTCCGACGGGCGCCCGCAGTGAGTTGCGAGCGCGACAGCAACATAATTATGCGCGAGCGATAAGGATGGGTAGCTTGGGGTCATTAGACAAAACTACGTGCTCGCAGACTAGACTAAAGGCGAAATGCTGGTAGCTAGCCAGACGGACTTGGAACAAGTCCTGCTACCAGCGAAATCGAGCAGAAAATAGTGAACTTCCTCGGATCGGACCGGACCGAAATGTGTAGCCTAATAATAATTGTATATCCTATAAATATATTTCCTGCTATCTATTATCAAAACTACCTACATTGTGGACAATTTTAATGTTTTTTATCATCTCTTTCAGGGTAATTTGCCGTAACTCCATCGGAAATCGGTAACGCGTTAAGTAAGGTTTAGGATAAGTTGTATCTCTTAGTCGGACACGCGTAGTCATTGTTAGCTTTAGCAATTATGTTATAATCTCGTATTACGCAATCAACATTTATTTCCATGCTTCCTCGTGCCAAAAGTCATGGGCGTTTAAAACTACACCGCTTAAATTTATCTCTTTAGAGTAACAATAGATAATATTACATTTATAATAAAATTAATCTCTTTAGGTAATTATCGCACCGAATTTAATTACAATGTTTCGGTATTATTACCCTGTCTCACGTTTTAAAAATTAATTTAAACGCCCATGGTGTAGCAATTGTATTACAATTTACAACATATTGTATTAATTAATTTTAAACTGCCCATAAAGCATTTAATTTATGTGGACGCTCTCTAGTATTGTGAGACATTTATTATTAGACATTATTTATTAAGATTTATATGAATGAGCATTTACTATTTCATTAAGTTCATGGATGTATCTGTAAGAAGGGTAGACGTGCTAGATGCGTAGATTATGATAAAGTATTGAACCTATTGCGGTTCAGTTTCACAACTTGTTGCCTTCCAAAGACAATGGATACTCACGTAATTAATGCATTTGAAAAGGTCACAAAGTATGAGTAATTTGGATGAGTGTCGTGCACTATAAGGTCACAAAGTGATTACGGAGAAGGTGAAGCTAATTAAAGGTTTTATTTGCCAGAAGTATGTTACTGACTCATGCTCGAGTCAGTTAATATTACTCGATGCGCTTATAAATGTTCTGGAATAGCGGTATCAAATTATGGACACCCTTGTATGTCTAGATAGCGAGATCACAATGATGAATCAGAAAACAACAGCATCTAGACTCTTAACTCAATGCAATGAGGTAGATAATCGCTTGATTGGAATAATATTTCTAAAAGGTGCTCCGTTTCTTTTGGTACTGACTACGCCGGGAACATTAAAAATTGAATGAAAGAATGAATGAGTAGCACAATGTTATCGACCGATGAATATTCGTAATCGCAAATATTCGAGCTGATAGTCAGCCGATTTTGATCCTAAAATCAATAACGGTGGATTTGAATTTAGTTGTAACGTACTGAGATTGTTTCAGGTATATTCACAAAGCTAAATATGGCGCGCTACAAACGCGAAGGTTCGATCGCACGCATTTAGATTTGTGGATATACTTAAAAAGTTTTAATCATTACGTAACGATTTAGTTGTAAGTTTTATATTTACCGCTTTTATTATGTGTACAACTTATTTAGCATTTATATTATACTTGAGTATTATGTAGAACTTGCGCAGGTGAGCTGATTGTATTTTGATTTTCCAGGCACTAAAGTTTTGAATGATACAAAGTTCATAATTAACCAAAGAGTTTAAAATACGTTTAGTAATAAAGGCTGTTGCATAAGGAACATAAAAGTACATTGCTCTTTTCTTGAAACCCTCTTGAACCGGTAAAGGATCTGTATTAAGTTATTGATCATACAAGGAACTTTGAAGAATATTTCAGACTCAGGCATGTAGCTCTCCTGCGTAGGTTAGTACTAAATAAGTATGTCATAAGAAGTACTGCATAGGCGTAGTTTTAGTGTAGGCATCGACGACCATCACAGGTAAGACACCAAAAATGAAGTAGCAAAATATTATGAATGTGATAGACATGGTTAGGCGAATGGTGTTCTTTACTTTATTAGAACCTTATAAATGTGACGTAGCACTTAAAATATTGCAGTGCACCAACTCTGTATTTATTGATTCTCTGTGATAATTATTGACTATTCCTTTTCATATAAATAACTGCATTTTTCTCTGTGATTTTATTGGTTATTTGAAGACTTGAGTTCTAAAGCGTTTTAAACATTCATTTATTGTCAGTTAAAAAGTTATAAAATGGTAAAATTTTATAGTTAAACAAAGTAATAAGTTCATACTTTTAATTTGCCTTTTTATACGAAGTTTCATCTACATAATTTTACTTGTGCCATAAACTGTACTTATTATTCTATTTTGATCGCTCACAATATGTTATTAACTAAGTTTTGTTTCTTTAATAGTGGGCATTATTAAATAGCAATAAAAAGCAAGTTTCACATCTAACTATATTATGCTTTTTTGTAGAGATACTGTATTGAAAAACGTATAATATGTTGATTCTATTTTTATTAACTACTGAATAGTATGTTGAATAATGCTTCCCTAAACGTTATAAATTAAGTTCCATTTATTGAGACTGGGATACCAATTTTTTAATTAACCCCTTGAACGAAAAAGTATAGAAGAATAAAATACAACAATAAGATGTGAAGAACACATTACTGATATTATTTAAGTCTGAAATAATACATTACGGAAAAGTCACATTTGAATGTTTTTAGTAGATTTTTATTGTTTTTATCCTTCTATGCTCTTTTTGTATACTACCTACATAAAACAAATCGCTGATTCTCTAATGAATCGACTGTGACAGTTATGAAGAATTGGAGCTTGTTGCTGGCTTGAATGCATCGAAGTTATGACGTTCATTTATTTATTTAGCATTAGCTTTAGGATTAGTGGAGTGCCACTGCTATATCCGAGTGTGTTGTTTAGCTTATGATAGGGACAATGTCTAGACTGATTTACGCTCCAATTAGAAGTGTTAGTATATAATGTATGCACTAGATTTTCCACGAAATTGTAACAAAGAGTGATAATATTGCAATATTCGGCCCTTATAATGTAAAACTTTTGATACTGAAATTCAAAAATTACTATAACAATAGAATTTGGTTAAAATTTTGACATGTTTTTTCTGATTCAGAAATAATTAGTGGCTGTAGATGGGATTGTGTAATTAGTTACAGTTCAATTGTCAATATCGAATATTTGTTTAGATGTTTTGCTACAATTATACAATATGATAAAATATCTATATTTTTTGTGGACATAATAATATTTTTTATTTGTTTCATAATATTATTTTCAATGCAATATTTACTGAGAATATTTTTCTATTTTGATGATGATCATTTTTAAATCACAATTATATTGATTGATAAGCACTTGTTGATATCTGCAATAACAGGCAGATTTGTTGCAAGTTTTAGGTTGCATCCGAACTAATCTGTGTTACAAAAGTTTATTGTTTTCAGTTGATTCTGAAACAAACATGTTTCATCTGTATAAGTTTGACAAAGTAAGTAACAATTAGAAATACATAAACTAGATTTTGTGACTGTTTTGTAATCTCTTTATATTCTATCCTTTAGTGTGTACTGTTTTCTATTAAATTTTTATCTGTGCTAGATCCAGTCTCGTATAAAATAAAATTATAGAAATGAATTATGTTGTTTTATTTCAAACTAACACCAACCAGTTTCTAGTTAAATTCAAGTCTATACATTCTATCCATTTGTGAAAAGCCTCATTAAATGCATGATAGTAGGGAATTTAGTGCAAGAACCCCTCCACTTTGGTATAGAAGGCTCATTTTTGCAACAGTGGTTCTTTGGGTGCTCCTGAGTGGATTTCCGTCGGTAGACATCGGGAGCCCCCCCTGTGGTAGCAGGGGGAGGGGGGGCAAGTTTCCTTCCGCCGCGCTTCACTTTAAGGCCCATATCTTCAAAACTATGGGTATTATGGCAAGTGTGGTATCATTTACGGATAATTAAAGGATGGCGAATTCATTTCTAGAACAAACTTTTTGCCTTTTCATACAAAAAAATAAAAATATTGAGTAAAATTCACAAAAACCAAAAAGTATTTTTTTAAATAAACGTCGTTTACTTTTAAACTACTGGAGATAATCTAATAAAAAAAATATGACCTGAAAGCTACATTTATCAAGATTATAAAAATATAACATTGTATGGTACTTTTTTCGCAAAAAGTAGGTGAAAAAATTTTTTTCTTCAGGACACAGCGGGCGAATTTTTGTGCGCATCGGAAAAAAATNAATAAAGAAATCGCAGTAAGGAACCATAGACTTGGCACGACTTTGTCTAGATTTCATTACTTTTTAGAGATAAACAAGCAGCTCCATCGAGACTTGGCTAGTTTTTTACAGAATGTTTTTAGTGGGATTTGATTGTCGGTCTCTAGTTCTCTTCATATACATTTTATATTGATGCGATCTCAACGCAAACCGCACCGCTGGCAGACTGCCTTATCAAGACCGCAGACTGTCTTACCCGGACCGCTGATCGCCGCCCTGACCGACAATGACAGGTTGCGTTCACTTTATCCTGACCGCAGACCGCATTCAGTGTGGCAACTCCTCGAACGGCGAACTAACATGCCACCCGACTGTTAGAAAGTGCCATTCATATGAATTATTAATTAAATTCCTAATGGACTTTCAACAAAATCCATTTTGAATAACATGTTGTTACTGCATAATACAAATCATCAAGTCATGGCACTAAAAATATCTCGCATTTCCACGCGAGCGGTTTGTACAAAGTTGACACGTCGTGATTGACAGATTAGTGGCAATAACTTTGATGATTTGACACAAACGACTAGCCTATTCTATTCGTAAAGGAGTGAGAGAGATAAAACGGTCAAATTCTTATTTATTAGTATGTGGAGTGGACGCTTTTAATTTCAGTGCACTTACACGTGTCTCAAATACAGCTATTTATAAAAATTTACGATATGGTTAAATTCAAATTATGAATTTTAAAGTATGTAGGCCCACTTCAGGTATATTTGGTATACTACAGAAACATCATAATCAACAGTCATCTTGTTCCTACTGCAGGAGCTAGAGGGTCTTAAATATTTACTAATGTAGGATAGGTATCCCCTCCCTGGTCAGACGGGATACGGAGAACTTACATATGTTTGTATATTTGTCTCTTAGTCCAGGTCAACAGCGAGACGACCCAGGACTTGTGCCAGGCAGAGGCGGCGTAAGGCGTAGGCGACGTGGGCCACCGCCTACGGCCTCGCGGTACAAGGGGCCTCGCGCATCAAAAATTTTGAAAAAATGTATACAAGGTGGAGATGACAATATCACAATACGAACATTGACTATTAAATATAAATTCTTGATAGCTAAACAATGTAGTTAAAAATAAAAATATATTTTTTTCCAAACAAATTCAGCCATAATCAGACACAAAATTAAGCAACAACACGGTTTTAAGTGACGAACATTATTCTTTGGCGCAATATACCTTTAAAAATAATCACTGAATCAAGAAATCAGAAACTGTCAATGTATAGACCTTTGACCCTTTTTTTTATTATTTCATAAAATCCGTCTTCAGGTCGCCACAGAACAAGGCCTCGCGAAATCTGTCTTGCCCACATCAAATTTAGGTCTTGCCCCGCCTGCCAGGACATAGCCGCCTGGAGACGTACTTATGATTAGGAGGGCCGACCCTATATAAAATGAAGAAGAAGAGTCATCTTACGTTACGACACCCTCGGGAAGAGTAAGAGTGATCCTATTATTACTCTGCCGGATAGATACTTGCGGCATAATATGAAATCTTGTAAAAAGAATTAAGGCCAGGTGGAAACCTTAATTTATTTATCAGCTGTTACCTTTGTATAACATGATCCTAACTTACTCGTGCTTTGTAATTGATACGCATACGCACTTACTATCGGGAATATTGGAGCCACGGGTGGCGAATTAATCCCATATCTATGCTATATGTGTCTTGATGATAACCGGAACGCATTTTGATAACTGATAACGCTATACTGTCGGTAGAACAAAAGCATTTCAATAATGAAGATCTTATGACAGATCCATTAGATCCTTTTTGACAAAGCAATAAGAAAAGAAGTGAAAGATCTACGAGTATTGGACAGTTGAATATTTTAAAATTTTACACATATTTTCAATGTTCTCTACTCTACAATAGAGGGTAATTACCTCAGTAATTTATTACTACTACTAGCTTTCCGCCCGCGGCTTCGCCCGCGTGGAATTTTGTCTGACACAGAAAAACTATATCGCGCGCGTCCCTGTTTCAAAAACCGGGATAAAAACTATCCTATGTTCTTTCCCGGGACTCAAACTATCTCTATGCCAAATTTCATCAAAATCGGTTGCGAGGTTTAAGCGGGAAAGCGTAACAGACAGACAGACAGAGTTACTTTCGCATTTATAATATTAGTTGGGAAGTTGGGATTATGCAATAGGTACGTGTGTATTACAAAATAATACATCTGTATTGTAATATCATACTGTCCGTTTCTTTTGCCGCTGAACCAATTCCGATAAATTGTAATATTATGAAGTGGGAATCAGTTGTGAAAGTGGGAATGAAATGAGAAATTACAAATGAAGTGTGTATGGAAACTCCACGATTTTCAATTTTCATAACACTCAGAAAAAAGCTTAGTATGTTTACACTACATATTATAAAAGTCGCTTTCTTATCTGTCCTATGTTCGCTTAGATCTTTAAAACTACGCAACGGATTTTGATGCATTATTTAATAGATATAGTCTGGTCCGTGAGCACGTAGAATTTTGTCCAATGACCCCAAGCTACCCATCCTTCTCGCTCCCGTGTAATTATATTGCTGTCGCGACTGTGCGACGGGCGCCCGCAGTGAGTGTGCGAGCGCGACAGCAACATAATTACACGCGAGCGATAGGGATGGGTAGCTTGGGGTCATTGGACAAAATTCTACGTGCTCACGGACCAGGCTTTAGAGTAATTCAACGGGAAGGTTTATTTATATGTATACTTAGCACCCGTGCGAAGACGGGGCGGGTCGCTAGTGTTTTATAAGACTCTATAATTTACGATTCCGTTTCTGACCGAGCCGAGCCGACCGAGCAATGTCGCGGGCAGAAGTTAGTAAATTATAGAGACTAACAAATAAATATCCATACTGGTAGAGTCGTCAATGAACTGACGTAACTGCATTCTTTGCAAGTGTAATGTAGTTTATTTATGCACTTGTTTACAGCATCAACTTCTCATTACTTATTTATTAACTAGTAATTAGAAGGTTTTCATTTAGCAGTCTATCAGTCAGTGTAATTAATATCTTAACTTAAACATATTTTCGTTTTGTAACTTTTAAATTTTACATGCCAAAATCTTGGCAAAACACTTTTCTAACATTGGAAAACCATCACATAAATTGCGTTGTAATATGATTTCACACATGTATAAGTAAATAAATGCCATTATCTTTATCGGTTTTTGTGAGATCCCTCAGGATAACAAAGGTAATTCGGAGATAGGATCACTAAAATGTAGCGTTTCGTAAAGCCTAAGTAATAACAAAAATTGATATTTGTCAAAACTAATACAATACGCCTGGACACAATGAACTGCGATCGGTTAGTAAATACAATAAAATAAAAGTCACTGACAGATGCTTAATTATATTGAACAAAAAGAAAATATTTTATTCTGAGTGTACTTGAAATAATTTGGAAAAACAATGACTAACTTCAATCTAGACTTAGATCATCGTGATTCGTGTATTTTTGTTTCAAAAATACCGCAAACGTATCTTATCGTGTTATTGCAACATCAATACACTTACAAAATCATAATCATGTTGTTTAAAAGAAAAGGATTGTCTTTACTTTTAGGTAGAATTTTACCCTTTATCATATGGAATGGACTGTTGTTATGTTGTAAAATGAACAAACAAAAATATATAAATAGATATCAATATGAGTTTCAGGACCGGTCTTTGTGGAAAACCTTGGGGGAGGCCTCTGTCCAGCAGAACGAACTAAATATGAGTTACTGCCTCAAGCACAGAATAAGTTATGCCTCAAGTCAATATTTAGCCAATTTTCAGTCAGTTCAACATTTTTGGTGTAGTGGTTCAGAACGGACTACTATGCCGAGAGGTCCCGGGTTCGATTCCCGGCCGGGCAGAAATTGAAATGATGAATTTTAATTTCTGTGACGGGTCTGGGTGTTTTCTATGTATAATATGTATGTATTTACAAAAAAAAAGTATTTAAGTATGTTTATATCCGTTGTTTAGTACCCATAGTACAAGCTTTGCTTAGTTTGGGACTAGCGGCGCAGTGTAAAATGTCCAAGGATATTATTATTATTATTTTTTTCTAAATATGTATTGGCAATTTGTAAATGCAAATTACAATAATTAGATCCGTCTCCAGGTAAGTAGTATGTGTAGTGTAGTAAGTAGTAACTTATACATATTAAAGGGACTAATTTTCATTAGAA